ACCCCCTAACGTTATGAAAAACAGTCTTGTAAGCCTTAAGTTACTTATTTATAAGGTTGTGTGGTGTGTGTGATGTCATATGGTGGTAGATTTGGGGATTGAGTGCATTGGGCTTTTTTTTTTTTGGTTGGCGGGGCGGTTTTTTGTTGGCTTTTTTTTCTTTGTTTCGTTTAGCTACAGTCAAATACACTTTCAGTCTTAACAGCATGCTAATGAAATGGCAGGATAAGAACTGCTTTATGTGCCTAATAAATTTTGAAGACAGAAGTGTGTGAAAAGGGGGGAAGGCTAGCAAAACTTCCCTACTGCATAATGTCTGATTTCACGACTAGATCATTAACATGCTGCTTCGTGAACTAATCAGGAAGTATTCCTGGGCTTGCTTCGGCTATTAGTGTTCAGCATAGCATCTGTGCATCATGTTTGCAAATTCGCGACTGGCTAGTTTTTAACTTGCTACTTCTGCTTATAAAGCAGTTTTGGTACTCAGTAAATCGACTCATTGCTTTTTCTTGTACTTAATATCCAGCAATTGGCATGCAGATACCCTAACTTATTTCAGAGCCTTGTAGTGTGTTGCTTGTTTGATATACCTTACCCAAAGGGCTGTTTTAGTGTCTGATTGTGGCTTCAGCTCTACTGTGAAAAATGATTTCTTTGGTGGGTGTTCATGGAAAATAGGAAGTCTTCCATATTTTAGCCTTAAAAGATGTTTTGCAGGATGGGTCTTCAGTATGTGATTGATTCTGCTTGTAAAGGGTAGAAGAAATCCAGTTACTATGCCTTGGCGGTACCTAACTAGCTAAATGAAGTTAGAACCGTAGGCTTAAGTGCTACATCAAGGAGAGAATGGGTGACACTAAGGGGTTGGTTTTTAGTAAAAAGGGATTTTTACATGCAGTAATGCTGGATGGAGGCTTGAAATGGCTTGGGTGACGTAGCTCGTTCAAGGGGCTGTGCGTCTGGAAGACAATAGTTAAAAGAAGCTGCTTCACTAATTTAAAATACCTCCGTGACATGAAACTCTCCTATGCTGTCTGTCTTTTGGTGATTGACTGAATTGAAGTGGCTAGAATGAGGTCAGGTCTGGCTTCTTATTGTAGCTTTTAAAATAATAATTGGATGTACCGTGTGCCTTTATTGACTTGAGTCTATATGAACTACAGTTTGCTGGGAGTGCATCCATCTGCAAATGAAATTCAGCCTTTTTTTATACAGAACTTTAAATTTTCCAAAGTTACTTTCTAATACTACAGTGTTTCTGTTTATTGTATGTTGCATTGACTTGGAATATGACTTTTTTTTTAATAAAGCAGTACAAAATATTGTAATGTGTACAGTGTAATTTTGTTTAAAATGCTAGTTCATTCTGTTATTTAAAAAAAGAAACCCCTCAGTGTTCAGTTCTAATGAGCTTGTCTTTTTTCGTTGCACAGATGCCACACAAGTCAAGATCTGCAGCTTCAGAATGCCTGGTTTTAGGCCAGGATATATTTTTATATTATTGTTGTGTCAAGAACTCTCACTGGCACACAGTTGCTCTAGCTTTCAATATTGACCTTAAGTGAAAACATGACTATTAATCAGTCTTTCATATCTCATGTGGCTTAAAAGAGCTCTGCAAATTTGTTATGCCTTACTGCAGTGCCTAGTCTGCTGAGCAGCTAAGGAAGGGTGTGTTCTACGTGTAAAGTACTAGTTCTACAAACTTGTAACGTAGGGTGGAGAGTTGCAATTTTTAAGGGCTGCAGCAGCCTCCTTACAGCAGCTTCGATCTGCACCACAAAGAGTAGATTTCCGCCTCAGCTGAGGAGTTGGAAACAAATAATCTGAGTGGGAAGCGTTCTGTGGTCAACCTTCTATTGACAACGACTGTTTCTTGGTTTTTGGGTTTTTTTGGACATCCTTTCTCTCTGACATCATGCGGGTGCAATGATGGTTGGTTGTGAGGCTTTTCTAATCCTTAAATGGAAGGCACTTCCAAGTAGACTCAAATGTCCAGAGCCCACTTTCTGCAAGAATTGCTATGCTGTATTGTGCCGCAGGACTTCTTTTGAATCATTTTTGGGACATCTGTGAAATAGTTCGTAACATGAGTCTGTTTCTAATGCTCAGAAAGGCCTTCTGCCTAAACTGTGCTTTGAAACTACCCGCTAGTAGACACTTGCACTGAGCCTGGTGACACGCAACAAGGCTTTGGTTAAGCCCTTAACTAAGCAGGAAGTCAAGCAACCTTACGTATACATTTGAGTTTATATTATGGAACAGAAGAGCTGAATTTTCTTAATCCACAGTCTTGGTTATATATCATTACCCCAAGATCTCCTATTTGTATTGGGTTTTAATAGCTGTCAGTAAATGCAGATGAAACTTTTCAAGTGGGGAAACCTTTAAAATCTATATTGCTCAGAATAGCTGATTTTTGTGACTGCAGCTATGTAGTGAGAACCAAGTTATAGTTACTTTTCCCCTTGTAACCATGTTACATGGGTAGCATTACTATTTTCTGTTGCATTTACATAGTGACTGTGGGGGGAAAAGCAAGGAGAGCCACGGGGTTAATGTGTTTGTCTAATTCTCTGCAAAAAACAAAGCATATACAGGCATTTGTGCCTGAATGTAACTTTCTGTGATGGAAGCAAAGATAATAAGATTTTTTTCTTTTTTTTTTTTTTTCTTTTCTGTTCAGGACTTAGAGGAATTCTGCTTTAAGTTTTGTGTCAATCATTTGACGGAAGTGACACAAACTACGGCATTTTGGCAAATGGACGGTCCCCTGCTAAAGGAATTCATTGCTAAAGCCAGTAAATGTGGAGCCTTTAAGAACTGAAATGAGGCTGTAAGTTACGGGTGTTTGTAGGGGTTTTTGCGGTTATAACAGGATGTCATAACTGTACGGGTAAAAGCGAGTGTTACCTGGTCTCTTGTACCAGAAGACATGAAAGGCCACAGTGAAAACAAATGTTTCCTGTGCTCAGGAGCGAACTGTTGTAAAAACGTCAAGCAAAATCTTCACTTGCGTTTAGCAAACCTGGACGGCGGAACCAGCTCAAGATTTCAGACGGAGAGAAGAAACACTGCAGCGCGCAGAGGATACCAGCCGGGGTATCCCAAGGACTTGCCTTTTTAGCCTGGCAAATCTCAGTCCTAGCACCACTTGTTAATGTTTTCAATTTGCTTTTTGGGGTTGGAGAATAGTCTGTCTGACCTGAGCCACTGAATCACGTCCCTTCAATCGTTAACTCCCTGGGATCATGGAGAAGCAAATGGCATGGATCTCTCTGACTGCATTTGCATGATTGTGAATTAATTTGCCATTTGCTGTGTGTCATTAACCAAGTGTATTCGCTGCTTAGAAAAGTGTGCAAAAATTATATATCCTGAAAGCCTACGCAAGTGACTTGGAAGGAAGGGGTAACTAGCACATCTAATTGGAAGTAAATCTCTATATTTGGGTATACCTTAATATAAGTTGTAATGTGTACTTTGTGTAATCTGTTCAAGCAATATTTATAATGGTTAATGGAAAAAATTCCCTCTGCGGTGACTTCAGATTATGCTGGTTCCCTTGGAGGGGAAGGGATACACTGATCTGAAAGCGGGGGGGGTTGCATTTAAGTGTTGTAAAAATTTAAACTACATGTAATAAAATTCACTTTTTTGTACCTGTTCACTTCTTTCGACTTTGAAGAAAATTGCAAGCTTTTTGTGTTACACACAGCATATAAGTTGCTTTATTTAAAAAAAAAACAACAACAAAAAACTGGAAACCCCAAAACCAGGTATTACTGAATCTTACCGATTTCACTGTGCTTGACAAATACCTGTCACCTCCATTTCAGAAAACAGCAAATTTATTTGTAGGCACTAATTCAGACCCCAGTGATTGCAATCTATGGATCCGATTTTTTTCACTAGTATGTCCGTATGTGACTGTAACCTTACAGCAGGTATGTACGGACATACACACCTACTTTACTGTGCACTTTTAAGGCGTTACATCCCCACCAAACACAGGGCGGAGCGGAGAACCTGGAACTTCAGATTTGAAGTTGAGGTTAACTACGGGTCTAGTTTTGGGGTTGTGACTTCGCCAAGTTTTGCAAAGCCTGGAAGTGTGGATTGTTGATAGAGGCAGGGAGCTCCTGTAGCGTTACGTGGGGAGTTCAGTCGAGGGTAGTCGGATGAAATGCTTCCAAATGTGTCATAAATGTTTCTGATCAACAACTTGTTTTGGACTGCAAACTCTAGACTAAAGGTCTAGCTTGGCAGGGGGGTGGAACAGAAGAGTACAGGACTTGTCCTCTAAGCTGCTCTGAAGCTTGTCAGCGATTCAGATCGCTGCTGTGAGGAAAAAGAGCTCGCATGAGCTTTTATGTCTTTCCCGTGACAGTGGATTTGCATCTTTCTTTGTTCCTGAGTAACAGATCAATCCATGCTCCATGATAATGCACTTTTGGTTTAGGAGGCAGGTTTCTAGGCAGAACGGCTGTGAGCAGAGCTTGAGTCCTTGGCGCAGGCAGTAAATGGGCTGTGTTTCTAGTCCTGGGCAGCCAGCAGGCCTGAACTGTGTAAGCAAGTAAAAATACTGGTATTTCGTTCTATTGGGCACAGCTAATCGTTCTACCCCACGTGCTTCCGTTTTGAAAGTTGTTACTCTGCTTACTGATCTCCACCTTCATACAGAACAAGATCAAGTTACAAATTTTGACTAGTCATGGAGCGAGTGCAGCTCTTCTAACAGGACGGTGCTGCAGCCTGTCATGACAGGCGGTGTTTGACATGATCGTCAGGGCAATGGGTGACTCTGGTCCCGCTCTGCTCGCTACTGAGAGGCAAGGTGTGGTTAAACTACGGCCTGACATGTACCCCCTCCTCAGCCGCGTCCCATGCAAGAGTGGGGCTAGCGAGCACGACTGAACACACCGCTTTCTTAAAAATGTTTTATTTTGTTAACTTACCCTTGCTCTTCTGTATTCAAACAATTTTTTTAAGACAAAACAGAGGGAAGTCATAGCCTTTCTTAATGGAGAAAGGAAGATATGGTCCATCGTTTGATCCATTTTACATTGTATATGTTTAGAGTATGATGCCCAACCATTTCTGGTCTGCCTGCAAACACTGTTTCACCACTGCCATTACAGCAGAACTAGTTATACATTGAGCAGTCAATCAAGCATTGTTTAATTAAAAAAAAAACCAAAAAACCTCCTGTTTATAACTCGGAAGGCTTCTTTGAGTGCAAGTTCTGCTAGTTTATCTTCTTTGGAAAGCCAAAGCAGCCACGTGATCCTTAAAACACCACTGCCTAGCTGCAGAGAGTGAAGCAGCTACCGCACACAGTCAGAAGAGGGCTCCCACAGTTAAACTGACTTTAAAAAGCTGATGCTCCTGTGTCTTTGAGACAAAAGTCTTCACTGGAGGGTGTTGTTGAGCTTTAAAAAAAGCTGTTTGGTGTATAACACTCACTGATCCATGGTAAAATTTAAAGAAAGGGACAACTTAAAATTATTGCAACAGTGAGGTATAAAAATGAGTAAAACACCCAGCTCTTGCCGTGTCCCAATCTCGGCAGGGGAAGGGGGGATAAATTAGACACTGACCAGACGTGCTCTATGGTTTCTATCATTAGAAAACCCTAAATATTGACACCATTACAGACAGACCGAGGGGTTAGTCAGACACCGTACTAGATGTATTAGCGGTGTTCTCTTGGGCGGGAAGGACGACTTCTTTTAAGTCCTGCAGCAGCTCAATCTTGTTATCCAGTCTTTTCCTGCTTTCCAGAAGTTCCTGGATTTTTTCCTCTGTTCCTATTATGAAGAAGAAAGGGATAAAAGCTTTTATTCATGTGCAACTATTACTAATTTAAAATACACGTTATCTATGCGTTAACACATAGCCTACAATGAAACCTCTGCCTTCCTGAAGCGAAGTCTTCAGCCTGCCGCCCTGTACGCTTGGTCTCGTCATGAAGAGATGGGCTGTGTGTTAGATGATAGCTGAAGTATCGAAGTGTCGGAAGAAAACACAAAGCAGCAGAGTTACATACTCTGTCATCCATATACCGTAGTCTCAAAACCAGCTACCTTACAGATTTAATTTCAACCATCACAGCAAATGTAAGACTTACTAGTTTAGTTACTAACCCCGTGTTATTTTGCGTACGAGCTTTACCAGCGCCATTTTCAGAATCCTTTTGTATGGGGACTCCTCCGATAAAGATGCATTTTGAATCTTTAAAGATAACATCTCTGAATTACACACTTAAAGCCAATTTACAAGCCTGATGGCGTTTAGCCACCACCTCAATTAAACCTAGAAAGAGACGGTTTGGACAACTGCATTCAACACCTAGAGTCTCAGAAACGTGACTCGAGAGCATTTAACGTTCCTGCTTCTGGCAAAACCGTTATTGCCAGCATGCTGACGGCCCCGTTAGCCCCCTTCTTCACCCTACTCGCAAAGCCCTGCCTGCCTGCGTTTCTGCTTCCATTTTTCTGATGTTGAAGTCTACTGAAATCAGTGAGCGCTCGGTAACAGGCCTCGCTGGAATTCAGAAGCATTACCATAACCTTGTATTGTTACCTGTAAGTTTTAAATGAAGTGCCTGCTCTGTTCAGTAACAAAACAGGCAGAGGTGTCGGTGACCTCTGAGCAGCGAAGTTAGTCAGTGAACAACAAACACGTTTTCTCACAGTGCGCAAGAATACCAGAGTTACGATTTTAGTGAGAAGCAAAAAATGTATTTTTCACTTTTTTAGGGGGGAAGACATTGAAGGAGGTCTCCAAAGTTGTAATGGGTGGAGCGGGGAAAGTAGCTCCAGCCGTTTACCCCTGTTCGTTCCGAATTACAGAGCCTGATCCACCCTTAACTGTGATTTTTAAAGAGAAAAGCCTTTGGCCTTCTGCCTTCCCCCCTGCTTCTTCCTCTCTGTTCAGAAAGCCCACCGCTGCTGCTGTTTGTGCGTGTACGTGGAGGACTGTGTACGTGCGCACGCTTCCGTAACGCATTTTTAAATACATTACCCAGTGAGGATGAGCGTGGGTGTTGGGAACGGGCAGCCAGGAGGACGGTGGTGTCCACCGCCTCTTGAAAATTCTGGGTAGCAGTACATCGAAGAGGGACCTGACGCCTCACCCTAGCTCTGACTGAAAAAAAACCAGGTGCCCCCTCTCCTCTCTGCTTTCCCCTGCAGGCGGGTGTCACGTCCCACCGGTGTCCCACCATGGTCCGTGCCCACCCTTTCACAGCGTCGGCTCAACAGCTGACAAGACTGCAACGGAAGTCGTCGTCTTCGTTGCTTGCCACAGGCGGCCTTTACGGTGTTTCCACGTGGTATCAAGCCCACGTGGTTAAAAGAACCAGCAGGCACATACTTGAAGAAAAAAAGCTGGACGTGCACAAGTGGGAGCTGGAGAAAACACTCTTGGAGAATATTTGGATACGAATTAATAAACTACCAGAAATAAACAAAACTAAGAGGAAACAAAACGATTGTGTCACTGTATCCAGCGTATGGGTGACCTATAGGCGGAACACTAACGGCTCCACTTCTCTTCTTCCAAAAGGATGTGACAAACAGAAACAGCCCAGAGAAAGATGTCAGTGATGGGAATGACTGGCCTATGGGAGCGCTTCCACAGGAAGGCAGATAGATAGATAGATAGCTAACAGATTGGGAACCTTCCACCTCATACAGGAGATGACCTAAAGGGAAGGAGTATGTATTTCTGTAAAACCGGGAATGGCCTGAGGAATGTGGACCTGGA